GCTATTTAGTTGCTTGAGGTGGGTGGGTTTTGTGCAAAAGGTCAACTTGGGGAAGACATTGAGCTAACTTGGTATCGGACTTGTTGCTTTTCAAATCTCTCAGGCAGCTTTTACTGGAAGTGTCCCTATTGAAAGATTTCCCCTCCTGCAGAGCAACAGTCATGTGACTGAATAGGGTCTGATATTTGTTTCTGTATATGAGTATTAATAGGCTTACATATTAAAGAAAACACAAATGTAGTGATAATGTGTAAAGTGCTTTGATTCTGTGTAAAGTTCTGGAATGAAGAACAAACACTCAGACTTCAGTCGACTAGAGTCAAAAGAGGAAAGAGATGAAATACGATTGGCTGCCATGCATAACTGCAGTCTGTGCTACTTTGCTGGTACATATATTAATACTTCGTTTACACAGGACAGTAATATGGAACCTGCACTCTCTGACCTGCTTTTGAAGGTGAAAACACTTGCAAAGCACAGTTTTGCTCTGCTGAGTAATTAATTACATAGTGAAGCCAGAATCACATCGACAATCCTAAAACACATAACTTTAAAAACAAGTCAGCAATGGCAGCTACCATATTTCTGTTCCAATACATAAAGGAGATGATGTACTTATAGATCATGTGTGGAGAATGCTCAGAAAGGCCTACATAGTTGCCAGGAAGGTTGGAAGAAAATGCAATCAATCATTTAGCTGCACAATTTAAAAATGTTCTTTTCTCGCAGTCCCTTAACAATATCTGGCATCTCAGCAAGCATATTGACTGCCATATTTGCTCTCTTCAACCATCCACATCTTAAAGTAAGGAGGGTTAGAACCTTGTCAATTTTTGGTGTCATTGCTATGCAGAGAACACTCTGAAGGACACTGCAGGCATGACTCTATCCCGTGTATTTTGTGAATGAAACAAAAAAAAGCAAGTGCAATGTGAAGTAATTAGAGCATTGACCTGTGGAGAGCAGATTCCTCTTTCCATTATAAATAGAATCCTAAGTGGTCGAAGAATCTCTTCACATTTTGCTACATTTTGTCTTGTTATCAAGCAATGCATGCATCTATTTTACTATACTTACATATCGCTTGCTTAGGGTGCGGCCACGTCAGGCAGAAGTGGAAAGTGAATCTGTACAGGAGAGATTCTTCCGGCCATACTTTCTCCAAGCTCCTGGAGATATGGTGGCACATGAAGGGCGGTTATGCAGGTTAGACTGCAAGGTAAGAAATATAGAGGTCTACTAAATGGTATTCTAGTAAATGTCTTTCCTATACTAATTCAAAGAAAGGAATTCCAAAGTGACTTGTTTTAACAGGTGAGTGGTCTACCGCCACCAGACATTATGTGGCTTCTTAATGGAATACCCGTCTCATCAGATGCCACTCACAAAATGTTGGTCAGAGAGAATGGAATTCACTCACTTCTCATCGATCCTCTTTCACAAGCTGATGCCGGGACATACACCTGCATTGCCACCAATAAGACAGGACAAAACTCATTCAGCTTAGAGCTGAGTGTGATGGGTAAGACTGCATGTGATATGTTATTTTATATCTAGAGTGAATAGTAGGTAAGCACTGATTGGCTTTACCAGTCACTTGCTAAAAAAAACTAAAATCATTGATAACTGCAGGTCAAATTTTAACCACAGTGTATTACAAAATGCAGTAACTGTGGCTTGTATCTGTTTCTATTTGAAATCAGTACTGCAAGCACAGACAGACCTGTAGTACTTACTGATAATTATCCTGAGAGTTGTATTTCCCAGAGCATAATGTTCTACAAAATTACTAAAATTAAATTAAAGTGGCACTATCACTTAGGTCACAGCGCCTGTGTACAGCTACCTCAATTACCTGTCATAACCACCACCAAAAACTTGGTGTTGACTGGTGTCAGGTGACATCACCCCATCTGACATGTGACAATACTAGGCCTAACTATTGACTGTACTGCACCATGAGTGGAGGTCATTGGCCCCACCATGCCAGAAAGCACTACATTTTTACTGGCTAGGACAAATGTAGTGGCTGGAGAGGAGAATATCATAGGCTCAGAGGAAAATGGCAGTGTCTCTTTAGTATTTTTTTTATATTATAGTAGGTATTAGTACTGGGCATTTAACACTGGTAGTTGTTGGCACAGTGTTCCCAGCACTGAGGGTGATGGTCATCCCTATGCCTTCGTATTACAAAATGGCTTGTATAAAATTACTTATTATAGATTATATTTATTTTACAAGTATGAAAATAGACATTTCCTATAAATGAGTCATTTCTCGTAAAAAAATACACCTGTTTTACCTTCCTGCAATTTTCCCAATTTCTCTCAGCAAAGGAAGTGCAGAGACCACCCATATTTTTGGAAAAGCTGCAGAACTCTGGGGTGCCAGAGGGTCATCCAGTTAGGTTAGAGAGTCGAGTTATTGGGATGCCTCCCCCTGTCTTCTACTGGAAGAAAGACAATGAAACCATTCCAGCCTACAAACATAGGATAAGGTATGTACTGACACTGTTCATTATCATGACTATCTGTGTTAACTTGGCTGTCATGTGTTAATACAAATATACTTTTGTAATAAAGCTTTTGGGTGGGATTAAAGTAAGCCACAAATTCATAAAAGGATGCAGTCTAACCAGCAGTTAATCATTTTTACATGTGACTGTTTCATAATTATATAGCCCAATATATCTTTAGCATGCATGTTGTAATGGAACCGACCCAGACTGCGCTTGAGTACTTCCATTAGAATACTGCTTCCCCGTCCGAACACTGACAACAGACACCACAGCCGACCATACAAGACTAGACGACACCAGTCTTGAAGTAAACCAGAAGGTAGACTAGTTTATTTGAACACAGATGCAAGATACACTCAGGGGACAGTCCCCCCTCCCTGCATAATGACAAGAGACACACAGGTATTCAAACTTCACACCAGCAGACAGTCCCATCAGGAGGGAGGGCTGCTGGAGACACCCCCCCCACTAAGCTAATACACATAAACACATACATCCCATTAAACAATCAACAGCCCCCACACAATATTAGGACAGATCACCCTGTACCCCTAACAGGCACAGGGTGATTTACACATAAGAGGGATATGAGGAGCTGAGACAGGGGTCTCCCCACCTCTCCAAAGTGAGCTGGGTTCCATGGGCCCCCCACCCAAAGTGACTCCCATCACACATGTTATGAAAGGAAGATAGTTTATCGGCACTTCTGATGCCAGGGAGTCATGCGTACCTGGAAACCATTGCAACAACAACAATAGACTGGCTAACAAAATGTCACAATAACTTTTCACCCCCAGGAAAGAATCACTAAAGCTGGCCATACATTAATCAGAATTCAAAGGGTGGTTGTTCTACTGATTGACTTCTGTACAACTGCCAAGTTAGAAATTTTCTGCTTGATCAGCACTGCCGGCTATAGCCAGCAGCTCTGCTCAGTGTATACTGACAGTGGGGAAATCTCCCCACTGTCAGAATGCAATAGCTCAGCAGGAGGATTCCTCCATCCACCTGTTGGTTGAACAACACTACTTAAGGGTGTGTGCTGGTGCCAATATACATAGCAACGTTTAGACAAGTATACTTATTTCTAAGGGGGATATATTTTACTCCTAAATGCAGTTTTGAAATTAAATGTTCTATTCACTGTCATTGTGTATAATACTACAACAGACATCTGTTTAATTACTTCCATATACTATGTGATCAAAATAATGATCAAGAGAGATATCATGGTTGGGATCTATTTTTTCCTGAGATTTCTTATTATCATTCCTGGGGATCAAAAGATGATTCACTCAACATTCTCCTGACCAAAAGGTGTAAAACTTTACACCTTTTACTTTACTTGACAGTACTGAGGTCCTGTGGTCTGCTAAATATTATTCAACAGGGTTATGACATATGATAAATGGGGATTATAAATTCCCATCTATATTTGCCCTACATTAATTAGTAATATTTTATTTTCAATATTTTGAGAAAGATATGTCTTGTTCTTGTAGTATGCACCAGGATGCCACAGGGTATGTGTGCCTTCTGATCCAGCCAGCTAAAAAAGAGGACGCAGGGTGGTATACATTGTCGGCAAAGAATGAAGCAGGGATTGTGTCCTGTACTGCTAGACTTGACATATATGGTAGGTTTAAGTACATAATATATGAAAATAACAGAGTATAACTAAGTTATATTAACAAAAATGCAGTAATTTGTTGGACCGGTAAAAATGTACCATAAAGAGTGTTATGAGACCTGCATGTTATGTGATAATGTAATATAAGAGATGCATGTTACCAAGAAGAGTGGTATGGGAACTGTACCTAACCACAGAGAGTTGTATGATAGGTGAACATTTTATTAGATATTGCCATAAAAGCTGGATAGAGAGAGAGCTACTTGGTCTATTCATATGTTCACTGTGTATATGTTCATATCTTCACTGTACTATAAATTTTACTGTCACCTGGGATATATTTACATATCAAATTAAATTAAATTTCATGTAGTGACTTCTTATGTATTTCATTGTGTGGAGAGTTTATCGGAGTGTCTCTCTTAAAGCCCATTCCCAGCCATTATATTTATTTTAGTTTATCTATAAAGTGCAGATGATGGGTGAGAAACTCTGTTTTATTGCTGTGCACTTTTTTGGGGAGATTTACCTTCATTTAATCACTGGATATCTCTGATAAGGACAGACACAACTGCAAAAACAAAATTATTAAGTAGATTGAGGGCAGGTTAGAAAGTTTATCCAGTTTATATTGTTCTCGGAATCTTCCTTTCCTAGTAACACCAGGATCTGCCTATTCTTGTCTGCTAGGACTAGAAGTAAAAGAAGATTCCCCAATGAGGACACAAACTGCAATAACAATTTAACATGAGCTCTAAATTTTGCTCACTATAACCAAAACTTGGCATGGCTAAAGGTGGGCTTAAAGTAATATAGAAGAAATCTATGTGTTGCAGATTGACACCTTTCACCAGGGGCAGACTGACCATTTGGAAACTCGGGCACTGCCAGAGGGCCCGGGGTCAGTAGGGGGCGCCATGAGATGCCCCTGGTACCTTTTTCATAGGCTTTTTTGAGTTTGGGCAAGGACACAGGGGCCCCATGATCCCCTATTGCCCGAGGGCCCCATGAGTTGTCAGTCCGCCCCTGCCTTTCACCCTTCCACACGGTCAGATCCTGCGGGACCATAGCCTAACAATATGGATGAGATTTACTAACACTGGAGCACTCAGAATCTGATGCAGCTGTGCATGGTAGCCAATCAGCTTCTAACTTCAGCTTGTTCAATTAAGCTTTGACAATAAAACCTGGAAGCTGGATTCTATGCAGAGTTGCACCAGATTTTGCACTCTCCAGTTTTGGTAAATAACCCCAATGTGTTGCTCTTTGTAATAGCTAGTGTATTGAAACTGAAAGTAATACAGTATTTTCCATAATTGTTTGCAGCTCAGTGGCACCAGCAGATTCCTCAGCCAATTAAAAAAATACGACCTCCTTCAAACCGCTACTCAACATTCTCCATGCCAAACCTGGATATTCTGAACCCGTACCCAATTGCAGAAACCCCGCTGAGCTTTATGTCTCCAGTCCGTGATGTGGTAGAGAGCGATGAGCTGTGAATTCAGCTGGCTACAGTAACACTAAAACTGTGAAGAAAATTACAGCGGAAAGTTTACAAAAGTCAATTTTTCTATTTTTTTAAAATATGGATTTAGTTTATTGCCCGTGTTAAATAGCCTAAAAGTATTTAAACGTTTAACCTAAATGGGGCTTATAGGCACCATTGTTCACCCATATAAAATGAATTTATCTTTTCTACAAGCTGAGCGCACCAGAAATATACACAGATTTGTGTCGCTGTGTCACTGACAGTGGGATCTGTTTTAACATGGTAATGCTGTGTATTTACCTTATTTAATTATTTATGTTATTAGGCAGAATAAAGATCAATAGATGTTCTATTAATATGAAGATGTGTATCATTTGTATCTAACAGATATTTACATTGTTCTTGTAGTGAGACTGACACTGTAGATGCTTTCAGTTAACCGTGCCATCTCCCACTATTTAAGTCCTGGAAAGTTTGTCCATATGAAATGGAAAAAACAGATGTATTATGAAATAAAGCGGCAACATACTGCATATTTTTAGACTTGTTTTATCATCAGTTGTTTGTCTTATTTTTGTCTTATTGTACACTCCAATTATTTTGCACAGATTCTTGTGCAAAATTTTTCACCTGTGCAAATATCCTATACCATCAATTAACTATATTTACCATCAAACAGAAAATTTTGACTTTTTAAAAAAGGCGCAGTGATATGCCAGTGGCCAATTGCATACTTGTCTCTGGTCAGCAAGACTTGAAGCAGACAGACAGGAAAATAGCAGTTTCAGGAGGTGAGCAATGGCACCCCTCATATTTCTTTATTTCTTCTTTCTTTAAAGTAGAACTATAGGCAAAAAGTGAAAAAAGGGGGATTGGGGGACCCTCGGGTACTGGGTCACTCCCACAGTATATATACACTAGTGCCATGTCCTAAATTGGCTAGTCAAAAAGGAAAAAGGAATACAAATGGACTTTAAAGGCACAGAAACTACATACACATATTAGATAAAATCCAAATTACTTTATTTGACAACGCATCACAAAAACATCATTCAATTAAAAGATCATTGTACAATATCCCCGCAGACAATATCCCAAAGCCCACCAGTTTCTGTGCCTTTAAAGCCCATTTGTATTTCTTTTTTCTTTTTTGACTATAACTATAGGCAAAACTTTTTTTTGTTCATTTTGGATAGAGTAAGGGAGGGTTATAACCTCTGTCAGAGGTTTTTTTTCGCCATCTGTGTCCCATTTTGGACATTTCCCTTCACTTCCTGTCCCACAGCCAAACAGGAAGAAAAAATCCCTGCAAATTAAAGGAATCCCTTGGGGACCCCCAAATCACCATGACTAATGTCCCTATTGAAAGATTTCCCCTCTATTACTTTTCTTGGGATAACCCAAAATTTGGGATTTTCTTTACTTTCAATGATCATGGTAAACAGGAAAAATAGAGAAGGTGAATTTGCCTAACGGGGGCACAGAGAGCAATAAAAACTGATAGGAGATCTAATCCCTCTCCACTCTATCAAATTTTTTTAAAGTTTTGCCTTTCGTTATACCTTACATAAACCCAGAAGTGAAACACTTGTATTTCCTATGTATTTCCTGACCCCTATAGAACATATAGAAAACCACTAAAAGGACTAAAAGGAATATATTAAGACCTTCTGTTTACACTGTTTCTGTAAAGATAGCCCTTTGATTACTCTTTAGCTTTTCCCAAGAATCCCCTAAAGCCTAATGCTGGGTGCACACGAGAAGTTTCTTTTTTTCGTTCAACCCAGCAGGCTGAAGGGAAAAAAACTGAGCAGTCGCCATGCTAACTAAGCATTGTTAGTGCCACAATCTCCCTCGTTGAGCTATTATGTTCTGACAGGGGCAATGCCAGGGACACGGTCATCTAGCATCCAGGGCAAAGATGCCAAATAGTGCCCCCAACAAAATGTATGAGCATTATGTGTCAGCAAAAATCTCTTCCCTCCGACTCCTCAAATAAATGCAAGCACTATAGGGGGGCTATAGAGGGCTATAGGATTGCAGCATTTGGGGCCCACACTAAAGATGCCACCGCTGTCACATTGCCACTGCGCTGTTTGCTTACCTGCCCCCTGCCCACATTCTTTGCTGGGAGGAGATGGGAGAGGGTAAACAAACAGTGCACAAAAACCAGCACTTCTTATAAAGTCCACGATCTCTTTAAAATCAATCAAAAATAAAAATTAAAAAAAAATCAAACTTCCATATAAGAATTATTGTGTTCTTCTCATGCTCTCACCAGACAACAAAGAAATAAAGTCTTTCAATCATTCAACTTGTCTTCTCTTGAGTGTCAGTGTTCAATGTGATCCCACTATGCTCCTCTCCCACCATGTAAAAAAAAACAAATTGCATATAGTGTAGTAGTTTAAAATATGTGAACTAATAAATAAACTAAATTGGCATACTCAAATGAAAATTAAAAGATATGTGGCCATTTACCATATCTACCCTTAGCCTTAATTCAAAAGATTCTTGCAGTTATACAAAAACAGTGCCTAGAAAAAGTATTCATACCCCTTGAAATTTTCCATATTTTGTCATGTTACAACCAAAAATGTATTTTATTGGGATTTTATGCGATAGACCATCAGCACATAATTGTGAAGTGGAAGGAAAATGCTAAATGGTTTTCAGAATTTTTTACAAGTAAATATCTGAAAAGTGTTGCATCCATTTGTATTCACCCCCTTTACTCTGATACCCGTAATTAAAATCTAGTGGAACCAATTGCCTTCAGAAGTCACCTAATTAGCCACCTGTGTTAATGTAATCTCGGTATAAATACAGCTGTTCTGTGAAGCCCTCAGGGGTTTGTTAGAGAACATTAGTGAACAAACAGCATCATGAAGGCCAAGGAACACACCAGACAGGTCAGGGATAAAGTTGTGGAGAAGTTTAAAGCTGGGTTAGGTTATAAATCATATCCCAAGCTTTGAACATCTCATGGAGCACTGTTCGATCCATCATCTGAAAATGGAAAGAGTATGGCACAATCGCAAACCTACCAAGACATGGCCATCCACTTAAACTGACAGGCCGGGCAAGGATAGCATTAATCAGAGAAGCAGCCAAGAGGCCCATGGTAACTCTGGAAGAGCTGCAGAGATCCACAGCTCAGGTGAACGGATCTGTCCACAGGACAACTATTAGTCGTGCACTCCACAAATCTGACCTTTATGGAAGAGGGACAAGAAGAAAGTCATTGTTGAAAGAAAGCCATAAGAAGTCCCATTTGCAGATTGCGAGAAGCAATGTGGGGGACACAGCAAGCATGTGGAAGAAGGTGCCCTGATCAAATGGAACTAAAATTGAACTTTTGGGCCTAAAAACAAAACGCTATGTGTAGCGGAAAAATAACACTGCACATCACCCTGAACACACCATCCCCATTATGAAACATGGTGGTGGCAGCATCATGTTGTGGGGATGCTTTTTTTCAGCAGGGACAGGGAAGCTGGCCAGAGTTGATGGGAAAATGGATGGAGCCATATACAGGGAAATCTTAGAAGAAAACCTGTTAAAATCTGCAAAAGACTTGGGACTGGGCGGAGGTTCACCTTTGAGCAGGACAACGATCCTAAACATACAGCCAGAGATACAATGGAATGGTTTAGATTAAAGCATATTCATGTAGCAAGACTTGAAAATTGCTGTCCACAGACTCCATCCAATCTGACAGAGCTTGAGCTATTTTGCAAAGAAGAATGGGCAAAATTTCACTCTCTAGATGTGGAAAGCGGGTAGAGACATACCGAAAAAGACTTGCAGCTCTAATTGCAGTGAAAGGTGGTTCTACAAAGTATTGACTCGGGGGCTGAATACAAATGCACTCCACACTTTTCAGATATTTATTTGTAAAAAATGCTGAAAACCATTTCTCATTTTCCTTCCACTTCACAATTATGTGCCACTTTGTTTTGGTCTATCCCATAAAATCCCAATAAAATACATTTACGTTTTTGGTTGTAACATAACAAAAAGTGAAACATGAATACTTTTTCAAGGCACTGTAATAATCCTTCCAATATCCTTCACACGTTGATCTCCGCATTTGATGAAATCCCCCCCAAAAAGAAAACATTCATATACTAATTTTTGTGTACTGTTGATTTGGGTCTGCCCATGGGGCAGTTTATATTCAGCTGCTGGGAATTTTTCTATAGATCATCAGGCACTGAGTGTTAGGTTTTATAAACACTGCACAGTGGCAATTCGGCAGTCCCAATACAGGAGAGCTGCAGTGGCAGAAGGAGGAGCTGGAGGAGAGACAACACAACCCATCCTAATCAATGAATGGAAGGAGCAGATTTTTCAGTCATCCACCTGGCCTCCATTTATATGTAGCGCCCTCCTAGTTAGCTAGGAAGAGCTACACTCCTGTTGTTAGGGCTGAGTAGCAGCCTGGGATTAATAGCTAGCAGGGGTCAAAATTGGGTTAGAGCTGAGAGGATCTGCAGACCAGCCCTCTGGAATTTCCTCCTACTCTAGAAATTTGGAGAAAGGTCTAGAAACAGTGGGCAGATCTGAGGAGTGGCTGGTTTGTACTCTTGGAACATCCTGGC